TCTGACCCTTGGCGTGAAGCCCAGAAAGAGAATTTAGAATCATGTCCTCCAAGGGAGAGGGACATTTAGATCTATAGACCCCAATCCCCACATCTTTTAGAGTTTGTTGGGATCTCTTTGATGGTTTCTCTAGAACTAGAAGATTGTCATTCAAAATGACCTTAGATATTTATTCTCTGGTCAGTTAAAAGTATGAATGGAATACAACTGCCCCTCCACACATATACAATCAGGGAGGACTGGTCAGGTTGGATGCTTGCTGGGCCACAGGAAGTCAGGTAGTCCGGGGTTGGCTGCTGCCCTTTGTAGTGCTGGTTGGTGATATAAGCAGATTTGGGAGAAAATGGGGAAGTAAGAGGCCAGGGACATGCCTAAAAAAAACTAGGGGAGTCTTGGTTCTGCCTTTGGCTGAGACACCTCTCCAATCTCCTTTTAGGCTGTGAACAAGGGCTGTTTCCTAGAGCACAAATACCAACGACCAGGACACTGAGTGTGGTGGACACAATACTCCAAGTCCTTAGAATGGCTTAAAATTTTGTCTGTGGTAGTCTGTGCTGAGTATGAAAAACATAAACTGTGGAGGATTATAGCAAGTCACTTGGCATCTATCGTAGTCTGTTGAGGCAGCTATAACAAAATACCAGAGAGGGAGTAGTTTATAAACACCAGAAATTTATTTCTCACAGTTTGGAGGCTGAAAGTTCAAGATCAGGATCCCAAGCTTGGTTGAGTTCTGGTGAAAGCTGTCTTCTGGGTTGCAGACTTGTTACTTGTTGTAACCTCACATTCTGGAAGGGCCTCTTTTATAAGGGCCGTAATTCCATCTATGAGGGCTCTGCTCTCCCGACCTAATCACCTCCCAAAGGCCCCACCTTCTAATACCATCATCTGGAGTCTTAAGTTTTCAGTGTCTGGATTTGGAGAGGACACAAATATTCAGACCACAGCAGCACCTGTGAGCACCTGGTGGTAATATCTACCTCTCTAGGTTGTGGTAAAGTCTCAAAGATCTAATAGGAAGTACCCAGAAAACTCACATGTGCCACATAAACGTTAGCTGTATGTCTATACAAAGATAATCAGAGAAAGTTTAAACCGGTCTCGTGTACCCCTATAGCAGGGAGGATGGCTTCTTTCATCAGCATGAATTCTTATTTAGCCAGTCCCCACACTCCTGGAACTAAACTTTAGGTTCTCTCCCAGGCAGAGGCCACATTTTACTCTGCATTCCTCAGTGCTTAGCATTGGACCAGAAACACGAGAGAGGGTCAATACACACCTGTAAAAATGCATTAGGAATGTTCAGAATGTGCAGAATGAAAACTACAGAATATGAAACAAAGAAGGTTCATCGTCACAAACTTGTATGCTTTTAAGGGTCATACAAATAATGTTCATGAGTGAAGTGTGTTGGGTGGAATCCAATAGTAAAGCATGGGGATTGTGCTAACTTCAGGGGACATGTCATATCTCTGAGAGGCAGTTTCTCATTTTCAGCTAATTGTTGCCAGGAGAGAATGTGGGCCCAATAAATCCAGATCTTCAGAGTATTTTGAGCAGAGCCTGAAATCTACATTGTAAAAATGATGACCTTGTATTTATAAAGTTTGGCAACTAATTCAAATACAAAAATAGGACAAAGCAGTATTTGGAGCCCTCAAAACACATCTGTGAGACCCACCATTTTGAGACTTTAAAATACTACCTCTTCCTTTCATAGATGAGGAGAGAAAGGCTAGGGATGGGGAGTGGCTTGCCAAAGGAGGCAGAGGTGGTGATAAGCAGAGGGTTGTGGTGAGGAGAGAGGCAAGGCAGTGCTTAGGAGCATCCCTGTGCCTTTTGCCTTCTGGGAAGGCAGGACACCTTTCCTTCTCTCCCTGGGGTTCCTGTGCTTCCTTATCCAGCCTGCTGGAAAGAGGCTCTGGAAAGGGCAGGCCGCAGCCCCTGATCTGCTTGCCATGAAGAAGCTGCCCTCGTGTTCTCTGCATGAAGAGCACTCATTGTGGGTCCACCTCCGTGATTAGAGCCTGGGCACTGACAAGTGCAGCAAGAGGAAAGTACAGAAGTGTGGAACTTCAGAGGAAAGGGGTTTCCTAGATGCCTAGTCCATGGTCTTGGCCCTGGCCTTCTGAAAACAGGCAGCTTAGCAAGCCTGTTAACTCAGTGCACACAGGCAGAAGAGGGGCAGGGAGGAGGGACTTAGGAAGCCACAGTGAGGAGTAATGAGGCCCCTCCCAAGGCCCCCCCCCTCCCCACCCCAGAAGCTATTGCCTAAGACCCTGGCATGATTTGTTTGCCCACAAATCCAAATGGGATGACAAGCAAATCATCGGATTGGCTGAGAATGACTGGTTAATTAGGAAATAAAATCGGGGCCTGTGCGCTCAGAGCTGTTTGTGGGTTTGTGGGAGTTTGTTTGCTTTGTTTTATTGAGTGGGTGGCTCTCACCATCATGATAATAGAGAGCTGATGAACAGAGAAAACACAGGAAATCATTTGGCCTTCAGCCCAAAACGAGGGCTGAAGGGATGAGGATTTCAGTGTTGGAGGAGGGGACAGCCACTGTTCCTGTCAGTGCAAACCGGGACTCAGCTCTTCTCAGCCAGAGCAAACCTCCCTGCCTAGGCCCTGGACTCACAGCCTGGGTCCCTCCCAAGCTGCAGCCAGTCAAGGCCAGATCCAAGCTGATAATCAATGCGGCTATGAGCTCTGTAGGGAAGCTTGTACCACGTAGGGATCCTCTATAAGGTGGAAAAAAAAAAGCACAAATTTAGGTGTGAAAATGAATATTGATTTAGAATGAAGAAAGGAATTAATAATGAATAAGAACGATTTTAAAAACCAACAAGATCCACAAATATCAGAAAAATAGCAATGTATTAATTAACTGCGAGTGCACCTCTAGAATACTTTTTATTTTCTACGTGTTTTGGCTTCATACTCTGCTCGCTTCTTTATATACAATGATTAGGTAATATGATTTTTCTACAGAAAGAATAGAAATATTCTTTGTGCAGAAGGAATCTTTCATTTTGGTGAGGTGTAAATGAGGATGAATGCCTTCACTTCCCATGGTACATGTCTGAAGTTTCCAACAATGTCCTATGCACTAGCTTCTAGCTCTGTCCATTCCCTCACTTTCTTCTGGTGTTGAGCATGACCCCTAGCCTTATATCTTCATGTTGTGATGCCAGGTGAGTCAATAAGAGTGAGAACTGGAATATCCCTGGAACCCATTCCCATACCAGGACAGCTGGCAATAGCTTTACTCTACGTAGAATTAATTGAAAGCCCTATACCTACAGCCTAGTACCCTCATGGTAAATGTCATACTAACCCAACTTCTTTTTTTGTTTGTTTACTGTTTTTTTTTTAATTGGAGTTCAATTTGTCAACATATAGCATAACACCCAGTGCTCATCCCATCAAGTGCCCCCCTCAGTGCCCATCACCCAGTCACCCCCAACCCCCACCCACCTCCCTTTCCACCACCCCTTGTTCATTTCCCAGTTAGGAGTCTCTCATGTGGGGATCCCTGGGTGGCGCAGCGGTTTGGCGCCTGCCTTTGGCCCAGGGCGCGATCTTGGAGACCCGGGATCGAATCCCAGGTCGGGCTCCCGGTGCATGGAGCCTGCTTCTGCCTCTCTCTCTCTCTCTCTCTCTCTCTCTCTCTGTGTGTGTGTGTGTGACTATCATAAATAAATTTAAAAAATTAAAAAAAATAAAACTTTAAAAAAAAGGAGTCTCTCATGTTCTGTCTCCCTTTCTGATATTTCAGACTCATTTTTTCTCCTTTCCCCTTTATTCCCTTTCACTATTTTTTATATTCCACAAATGAATGAGACCATATAATGTTTGTCCTTCTCCGATTGACTTATTTCACTCCGCATGATACCTGCCAGTTCCACCCACGTCGAAGCAAATGGTGGGTATTTGTCGTTTCTAACGGCTGAGTAATATTCCATTGTATACATAGACCACATCTTCTTTATCCATTCATCTTTCGATGGACACCGAGGCTCCTTCCACAGTTTGGCTATTGTGGACATTGCTGCTAGAAACATCGGGGTGCAGGTGTCCCGGCGTTTCATTGCATCTGTGTCTTTGGGGTAAATCCCCAGCAGTGCAATTGCTGGGTCGTAGGGCAGGTCTATTTTTAACTCTTTGAGGAACCTCCACACAGGTTTCCAGAGTGGCTGCACCAGTTCACATTCCCACCAACAGTGCAAGAGGGTTCCCCACTAACCCAACTTCTTAGCCAGATCCCCAAATACCCACAGCTGACCAACACTGCCTGATGGGAGCACATTGCAGGGGAAAGAAACAGCAGTCTTAACTGATGTGGTTTAAAAGTCTTACTCTTGTGACCCTTACAAAAACATCTGGGCATGTGAACCCAGTGTTAGTGCCCCTCCTAGGGCTTTGAAGAGAGCTGTTGCTTGTGAGGACCCTGGAATTCCATTACCTTTCTGATGATTCCACTTCTGTTAAAAATCCAACTCTTCCAGTCCTTTTGTTCTGCCTCTCCTTCATCTCAAGACTTCTCAGGTTTGGAAGAGTGGAATTCAAATTCCCAGCCCTGACCCATACTGGTTGTATGGCTTTCAGGAAGTCACCAGACCTAGCTAAGCCACGGCCACCTTGCCTTTATGATGGGAAAGTTCCAGTTGCAAAGACAAGGAAAGTTTTCTCCCTTTCATGGGGTAAGTATTTGGCAAAGGGAAGAGCAAAGTCAGTTTGAGCAAGTGTAAGCATCATCTGGAAACTGCTACTGACCTTTCAAATGATTTGGCTCAGTATTGCCCTAAGTCTATCCCGTGGAACATGAGTCAGCTGCTTGGGTGACAACATTTATTGAACACCCACCATAAGCCAGACACTCATCAAGGAAAGTAGGACTTTAGCCATGAATAATGAAATAAGGCCCTGCCCTCATGGAGCTTATTTTTGTTGTGGGGGAGACAAGGAAGATACTTGAAAACAAAATAATATTGTTGCAGGTAAATGTAAGTGGTGAAGATACTAAGCAGAGACTACTGGTAAAGGAAGGTGAGGTTGCTGAAGCAGGAGAGCAAGGACTTCCTGGAGACCTGAGCAATGAGGAGGGACAGCCATGTGAAGAGGAGTAGTCCAGGCAGAGGGCCCTGATCTGCAGCCATCCTGACTGGTGTGAGGGGCAAATGGAAGGCACAGCAGATGACAGAGGACAAAAGGAGATGGTTTGGTAAGGGAACATGCACAATTTTGAACTGAGGTATGGAGTAGGGATTTTATTCAAATTGGGCTGAGAAGCCACTGGAACAATCAGGCACATGGTAGGATCTGCTATGAATTTTAATTAGATAATTCTGGTCTGTGAGAAGACTCCTTTATATAGGTAAAGGAGTGAAGCCAAGAGATCAGTTGGGAGACCATCATGTCGGTCAAGCTGAGGGATTTTGGTGGGTAGGCTGGGGTGATGGAGGTGGACATGGAGAGAGATGGTGGAATGCAGGAGATAGTTTGGAGGCAAAACCAACAGGATTAACACTTGGACTGGATGTAGGTTGTGAGGAAAACAGAGGGTTCAAGCAACATCTAGGACCTCAAATGAAGCTATGCAGACTCTCTTTCCTTCTCTTAGCTTCCATTCTCACATGGGTAAACTCCTAAGGGTAGCCAAATGGCTGCAGATTCACTAGCTTTATATCCTTACAATGCCAAGAGCTGAAAAGAGAGCCTTTCTTCCCCTATATTTTGAACAAAAGTCCTGGGACTGATTCCCATTTCCAATGACTGACTTTAGCCTGGGTCCCATGGCAACCTCTTAGAGACAGGAAGTGGGCCCTGACCCCTCCAAAGATGGGTTAAGAGTGGGATAGAGCTGTCTCTATGCTCTGCAGGCACAGAGGTGGCTGAAACCAAGTGTCCCTCTCACAAAGCTCACAATCTCATGGGAGAACTGGTACACGTGTAAATAGAACACAGGTGGGAAGGAGAGCACCGGAGGGGCAGTGTGTATTTCCAGAGAGATAGGAGGGGCACCTGAGGTGGTGCTCTCATCTTAAAGAAGGAGTAGGGGTTAATCTGAGACAGGGCAAGGGTGTTCCAAACATAAGGCACAACAAGAACCAAAGCAAGGATTCAAAATATAGTGACTTCGAGGTGAGTGAAGAACTACAGCCAGTTCTCTGTGTTGAGAGAGTTAAAGCAGAAGTGACAGAGAAATGACCTGGACTGGGGAGCCAGGCTAGGACCACAAAGGCCTTACACTTATCCTTAGGGCATTGGGCAGCCTATGAGTAGGCAGCGGACAACCCCATCAGGTTTCCATTCCCAGTGGGTCTCTTTAGCAGAGGTTAGAGGTGGATCAGGAGGGGCTAAGTCAGAGCTTAGGAGGTGGATAATGAGGAGGTGGTCCTGATGGTCTAGGCAGGAGGGGAGTGGATCTGAGGGAGAGAAAGCCAGGAGGACTGACAGAGGAGGTGAGTTTTGAAAGGAGGACCTTGGCCAGTGCCAGTGGGAAGGCAAGCTTATTACAGTTCCTTTGGCTCCATGACAGGTAGAGAAGATAGAAGTGCCTCCATTCTCTGGAGGCTGGCAAACTCAGCCCTCAGCACCAGTCCCAGAGGAACCCTTGCATGTGTCCCAAAGAGCCTTCACAGGGAATTTCTATGAATTGTTGTGTGTAATCGAAAAATTAAAAGGGGGATACATCCTAAATGTTCTGCAATAAGGAACGGCTAAATTAGTTACAGTGTAACCAGCCTGTGGAATACTACACAGCAGTTTAAAAGGCAAATGTTCTGATGTGGAAAGATAGGCAAGATACCTTGAGTAGGAAAGAAAGTGGGTTGTCAAATGACATGTAGAATATATTATAATTTAAGAAAATAAAAACAAATACACATATATCTGTATCTATCTAAATTTCTGTGTGTACATGTGTAAATGCATCAAAAAAGGTCTGATGGACTACAAATCAAGCAATAATGGCTTTGACCTCTAAGGAAATCATGGGGAATGGGAATGTCATTCAGGGAACTTTAGCTCTACCTCCAATGTCTATATGTTTACAGTAGGGCCTCTGTTGAGTTGAGGGGCCTGTATGACCCCATGTGGTGAGTCCACCACATAGCTGGATGTGTAACTCAGATAAAACACAGATTGCAGACTTGTTTGGTATACGCATGCTTCAAAATGCTGTGCTTTAATATATTCTCTTAATTAGGACTGCCATGGATATAAAAAACAGAAACCTGTTCGAGCTACTAGAGCAAAAAAGGGAAGATGTATCCTAAGGACACAGGTTCTGAGACCCCAAGGCAAGAAACATGACCTCAGCGAAGTCTAGAACCAGGGCTGCAAAGCCACCAGGTATTAAGACCACTTTTCTTTATCACATGCTCTCTCCCTCTTGTCTGGGGAAAGCCTGTTAAAGATCTTTCCCAAAGCAAAAAGTTGATTTGGATGGAGACTTTTCATCCCATCCCACCACCAGACTATCCATTTTCCCCATTCACAGGGGTAGAAGACCCTCAGAATATCCTGAAAAAGTCAGGATACTGCCTGTCTGCCCTGGTCACAGCAGTATTTGTGGCCATCCACTGGGGAAACACAAAGAGCCTCCCCTTCTCCCCACCTCCTTTTTTGCTAATTCAGCTCTAACTTGGTTGCATCTGCTTTGCTGGCAACTTCATGGAAGCTAAAGGAAAGCATCAAGGAAAAGAGGAGAAAAAGCTGCCGGAGACTTTCCTGTGACTCGTTGCTAATAAAGTTGATTAGACTGACAAGTCGCTCCTGTTTTATTACTGACAGCTTGTGGTCTCATTTTGATTTATCACCACCACACCTACCTGAGTCAGGAGTGGAGATTAGCCCAAATTAAAGCTCAAGTGACTCAGGAAGCTGAGGCGTGACAGCAGGTGGGGGTGGAGCAGGTGGGAGGATGGACACAGATGTTAGTGGCAGGCCTCCAAGGAGCAAAAGATGGAGGTCCCAAGGATTGACTTTCCTTATTTATTTGGGAGGAGCAAGATTTTACTGTTTTCTCTCTGGCCATGGAGGAAAGTCCATAAATAAAGCTCGTGGGTGTTGTGTGTGGCTCTGTCAGCCTCAGGGGGTAATAAATCTTAGCCGAGACTCATCTCTGCAGATACCTGGGAACATGAGCTAAATTATCTCCAATATAAAGTCATGCATTCTGCTGTGCTATTTTCCAGAAACACTGAAGCTGGGACCATAACCCAGTAGTTTCTAAGTGTAGGCAGGCCAGATGTGAAAACATGTTAAGTTCCTGGGAAAAGCCTGGAACCCATCTACAGACCTTCCACAGCACCCCTAGAGGCCCTCTGGCTACTCACAGTCCAAGGATTTATCATTTAGCTATGAATTTTAGTAGTCAGACTCCATGCTTTCTGTTGCTCCCCAAGAAGCCCAATTCCAAAGACTTGCCAGAACTTTTCAGGGAGCACAGATAGTGAATGGGACATCACTGGAGGTACTCAAGTCTGGTGCAGGCAAACATTTGGGGGACATTTGAGCAATAACTCTTTGAGATTCCTTCTGAAATGAGCTACCAAATTGGGAAATTCTTGGAATAAATGAATAAAGCACCAATACTTACTGAGATGATCCATTCAGCAAGGAAAGTAAAATCTAGAGAGTCCCATTATATTTCAAGGATCCAGGGTTGACTGTCCTATCCTTGAAACAGGGTCATGCCATAAGTCTTATTCTTTTCATTATAACTCACTGAGCAGAGATCCTTGAGCACAGCAGACACTCAACGAGTGCTTCTTGAATAAGTGAACAGTGAGCTGATTGGAAGAGTAAAATTCAGAGCTTGATGGTTAGAAAGGCTGGTCCAGAGAATTTAACACACAACTGAGCTGTTGACTCCTATACCCAAATGCCTTTCTGACCTCTCCACTTGGATGCCAAATAAGGATCCCAAACCTTGGATATCTAAGGCAGGACTCAGATTGTTTCCTGTCTTCCTAACTCAGTAAGGGCAGACATCCAATCAACCAGCTGCTCAAGTCAAAACCTGAGTCATCTTTGTATTTCTCCCTACACTGGAGTGCATTAGTCAGTCCCATCAACTCTACTTCCAGAATATACCCCCCATATCCATCTACTTCTCACTCTCTCTCTGCTACTACCTTGGCTCAACTGTTCATCATCCCTTGCTTAGACTACAGCATTAATCTTTGTTTTCTCTGTTTTTATTCTTCCACACTACCACATCCTTCAACAGCCCATTATCCATGTGGCAGCCAGAAAGGTATTTCCAAAACATAAATCAGAACAATTGTTTCCCATCACAGCTTCTTATTATAAAAGTCCACAAATTTCTGCATGATCTTCATCTGGACTAATTTTTTTAAACTATCTCTACAACTTTTCCAGTACTCACTATACTCTGGCTATACAGAAATTCTTTATTCTTCCAACCAAGCTTCTTTCTACCTCAGGGCCTTTGCACTGCAGTTTTCTCTGTCTAAAAGACTTCACCCAAATTGTCACATGACTGGCTCCTTCATTTCATTCTAATCCCAGCTCACATCCCTTCCTCTACCTTTTTTTAAAAACACTTTTCCAATTTCTAGTAGCCCTTTATAGATTTTCCTTATAGCATGTTCACTATCTGATATTATCTTATGTACTTGTTTATTTATGTGTTTATATAAATAATAGAATATAAACTACTAGAATATAAGCTCCATGAGCTAGTCTACATTGTTTACTGTTATATCCCCAGGGCCTAGAATAGTGCTTGGTACACAGTAGGCATTCAATGAATATTTACTGAACAGGGATAGCCTGCAAGATAATGGTTCCAATCAAAACACTGATATAAAGGCTTCATGGCCAGACTTTTTATTCCTAAAGGATCCAGGAGCCATTCTGTTTGTGAATTGAGCTTGACCTTAGCAACCAGGAAATCATAACTTATCAACAAGAATTGAGTCATGGGATAAGGAAAGGGGTCTGCAAAAGCAAGATTCTACTTGCTGCCCAGCCTCTCTGAGACTTCTCAACCCTATTTTATGGACTTTATTTCTTATCAATTTTCCCTACCCACCTTCTGGAACAGGCCTTCACTTGGGGCTTCCAAAACTCATGACTTGGATTTGGAAACTCATATGCCTGACCTGCAAACCAAAGCCAAGCATGAGGAAGCCTAAATTGCAAAAAACAATCAGAAAGTTGAATTTTCATCAGAGAAGATAAAACTTGTTGTATTGATTGGGGCAAGGGTAGGCAGGGTGGTAGGAAGCAGAAAACAGCCAGAAGCTCCCATTTCTATCTGATCATAATCAACTCAGAGGTTTAGCTTCTCTGTTTCATTACACTAGGGGAAAAAAAGAAAGAACTGATCTAACCCTACCCCCACAATCTAACACAC